CTTTTCTGGCCACCCCTTCCAACTAAAAAAAAAGAACTTCAAAAAGAAAGAAACACGATTGCAGCGTATTACAATGTAAATGATCACTGTTTTACAGGTTTTCGCTCATGGTCTGTGTGTACTGTTAACCAAGTGACAGCTGGTCTATGTGTAAGATTCAATTGTATACCTCGGTCTGTGGCAATGACCCCGGCGTCGCATATATGCGACGCTCAGTAGCGAACGTGTTAACCATAAAAACGTATTTGGAATCTATTGAGGGCCTTATTTAATATAATGGATTATTGAATTAAAATAGTAAAATGACTTTAATTTCATTTTTTCGAATGGGTAGCCTCCGGATTATCAAGATACAATTAAAGTTGTTTAAATACCTGTAATGTCGATAATTCTCTTAAATGGCTGAGATCTTATCTGTCAGATAGGCAGCAATGTGTGGAGATTGGTGACACGAGATGGGCGACAGTTACATGTGGTGTGCCTCAAGGGTCAATCCTTGGGCCTCTGCTCTTCGTACTGTACGTCAATGACATAAACTTGACCTTGGTCAACTGTAAACACCATATGTACGCTGACGACTTACAAATCTATGACCATTTTACTGCAAACAACGAAAACGACTGTGTCAGAAGGATCAATGAAGATGTCAACCGAATTGTTACTTGGACTGAGAATCATGGACTGAGACTAAATCACGAAAAGACGAAACCGATTGTCATTAGCCATTCTCGACTTCGACCTTCAATTGACTTAGACTCCATAAACCCAATCACAGTTAATGGCAAAGCACTTCCATACTACGACAATGTCAAGAATCTTGGTATATCTTTCAACTCTTCACTTACTTGGGACATAGCTGTTATGGACACACGAAAAAAGGTTTTTGCCTCCATACATTCATTGAAAAGATTACAGATTTTTTTACCACAACACACTAAACTACATTTGATCAAATCACTTGTACTACCCCACTTCAGTTACTGCAACTCATTGATCAATGACTTGACTGCGACTCAGGCGGGTATGCTCCAGCGGTCACAGAATTATTGTTTGAGATTTGTCTATGGTCTGCGACGTATGGAGCATATCACGCCATACTACCTTGAGGCACACATCCTGAAATTAAATGATCAAAGATTCATTAAAATTTTGTCATTGGTTTTTTCAATTTTGAAAACAGGCTCCCCAAAATATTTCAAATCCGATTTTAAATTTGTGTCTCAGGGTAGTTCATGAATGTCTCGTTATTCTTCGATCACATTGCGTATACCTCATCATGTGACCACAGCTTATGGCAGGGCTTTTGTTGTTACCGCTTGTCGTCTGTGGAACGGCCTACCCCTACACATTAAGACCCTTGAAAAACGTTCCCAGTTTGTGGCGGCACTGAAAAAGCTCTATTTTGAGAAGATGGTCTCGGCTGGCGTGCCCTAGGGCTGCTGTTGCCTTGCGCGTTTGCTGATGCGTGTATGCGAGAGTGTGTGAATGTGTTTTTCTATTTGTTAAATTTTTATGTTTTTTTTTAGATATGTAGGTACTGTACTTGAATTGTTAAATATTTTATGTTTAATTAGATTAAGTTATCCCTATGTCACTTTATTTTTGTTATATTTTTAATGTCAGGTTAAGTGTAAGAAAGGGCCATGTGGCCCTAACTTTGCCTGAAAAAATAAAGGATTTTTCATTTCATTTCATTTCATAATCCAATCGGTTGTGAAACAACTAGTTTCGGCTCACAAAGGAGCATTCTTCAGGTTTTCCCAAGGACATTGTCACTTCTTCTGAAGGTCGTCAAAGATCACAATATTTACAAAACACAAAAAACATTTAAAACACATTACATGCATGCCTAGGCCTAGCTTTAACGATGTGACCGGCGGGAGTTTACGTCTAGACTGCCGGGCACTATGGTCGGTGCGTCTTATCAGTAACAGGTTGTTTGTGGGTATCATTCTTCTCCCTCTCCCTTTCCATTATTTCTATTGTAGTGTTGTAAATGAAATTAGATGCGAATGAAAGCTTGTCGTTTAGCACGTTTTGTTTGTCCAATTTGACTGCCTTATAAATTTTGTTTTTTGTGTTTTGTAAATATTGTGATCTTTGATGACCTTCAGAAGAAGTGACAATGTTGTTGGATTGGAAAATGGTAAAATTAAGATTATAAAAAAGAAACCATGTTGACTTGAGCAATAAAAACAATGTAATGAAAAAGTAAACAGAAAGAAATAATAACATATGATAAATAAATATACACATGTTAAATGCAGATCAAGGGGGAAAAGTCTTGAACAAATGTCCTTGGGAAAACCTGAAGAAGGCTCCTTTGTGAGCCGAAACTAGTTGTTTCACAACCGATTGGATTATCGACATTACAGGTATTTAAACCACTTTAATTGACTTTAATTTCATCAATTTGGGCCAAACATTAAAAATTGAAGTCTTACAACAACCAAAGACTGAAAAAGTCTGTTAAAAAAAAACAACTTAAAAAGAACATTTTACACAAAATATTAAAATACTTATTCAATTATTAAACTGGATATTTTAATATTGAAGGGTATATTTCCACTAAATTATCGCCGACCAAAATGACGTGGTAGCGAAGTAAATTACGCAACCGTGATCAAAATAAACTTTGAAGGGTTTTATCGTAAGAAATAAATATGGTATCTAGTAAAATAAAACAATCTGTGATTTGATAGGACATTTATTTAACAAACAATACCATGAATATATGACATGAGGACTTTGAAATCATGTTATTGGAAATCATTTGAAACGCTTGTAAAGAAAATAAAGTTAGTTTTAACCCATTGGAGACCGAGTATTTTATTCACTGACGATAGCTAAAAACCCTATTAAAATGGGCCAATTTGCAAAGGTTTACTAAAAAATCTGTAAAAATTTATTCTTTTACCTAAATACATAAAAATTATGTTTTTCTTTATCTAAAAAAATTTTCTTTTATGTAATGTGGTTTTTACTTAAAATTTTTTTTTTTTAAGAAATAAATAAAAAAAATATTTTTATTTTTTCAAAAGCAAACATAAATAAAATGCATTTTTTGAGCCCATGAGTCTTACAATTGATATATATATGTGTGCAAAATTTAATTCCTTACGTGGAAATGTCAAGATTATCTCTGTAGGATTTATACTTTTTTTATATATTTATTTTTGTAAATCATTACAAATTTCAAAATATTGCGATTTCTCAATAAAACAATATAATTTTTAAAACAGGACTCTAAGTTTTCTTGTTGTAATCCATTTTAATAATTATTTTGGTAAAAATTATACATATTATTAGCAAAACATTAAAAAAATAAAAAAAACTCACCATAAGTGGATTTTCTTTGCGACCGAGACTCGTTTGAAGAAGCACACAAAATCTACAGGCTACAATTGTTCACCGACACACTTATGAAAATGTCCATGATACAATGTTCTTAAGCTTCATAATAAAAACTAAAATATGACCTAAATAATATTTACACAAAATTTACAAGTTTGTTGATAGCTGTCTTTCTAATAATTAATCTTTGTGTGATATTCTTCAAAACATTTTTCGAGGTGGAGAGGCACCAAGCACTTGTTGCAAAGCCATCTTACTTCAGATCGAATTTTGTTTTTATAACATACTCTACAATTCCTAGTAGGTTTTTGTTTTTTTTTCGGTGGGGGGGATTTGCATTGGGAAATGCCCCATGCTTTACTTTGCAGTCTCATCGGGTTGTCTTTGGCTGGTCGACCTGGACTCAGACAATTTGGTAAGCTGATGTTTTCGAGGATTTGTTCCACCAGGGCAATCCTATAGTCTCTATAGTGAATTTTTTCCCATGGATCATCTTCCATATACAAAATGAATTAAAAATTGTCATGTCCATTAGGTAAAAAAACAATTTCTTATATGACTTGACAGTTCTTCGCATAATTGGGTGGCTGGCTAACATCTGGTCTTGAACGTCTACGCCCAGCATACCTTTATTGTAATCAATAACGCTTTTGGGTTTCAATACTTGCCTGACTTCTCCCCTCCTCTCTATCTCCTTGTCTACAGTCATTTCTATGCTAGCATGAGTAGTTGACAGAACATGAACATCCTTACGGTCTTTCCATTTTACCGCAAGGATACCATCCTTACTCCGCCTCATGGCCTCTCCAACTTCCAGGCAGGCATTGTCAAAATCTTCAGGCATATTGATTCATTCAAGATTTACTGTTCCTACACAATGTGTGCTGCGTTGAAGTAAACGTTGACATAGACCAGGGGAGTTATACCAGTTGTCTATAAACAACACATGGCCTAAATCTAAGACCGATTCGGCCAATTGCATGACTACGGCTTCGCTAGCAGGGACGTTTGGGGTCTTGTCATCGCCGGTATAAATCTTAAAGTCTCCACAATACCCACTGGAGCTTTCACACAGCTTATAGATTTTTATTCCAAATCGCGCCCTTTTTTTAGGATTAAATTGGACGTAAGACAGCCTAGCTCGAAGTTTGACAAGGCTTTCATCAATGGCTAAATCCCTTTTCATTGTATAGACGTGCATATACTTTGTTTGCAAGTAAGAAATCACGGGCCTTAGTTTTTTAAGCTTATCATTTCGATCAGTGAATTCCTCATCAGCAAAATGCATAAATCTAGAAATTAGCTTGAACCGACAGTAAGACATAACCTGTGCATATATTGGAGTTTCTAAGATTTTTCTAGCCGTCCAATACATTTTAATTGTTGGTTTCCTCACTTGGCCCATTAGTATGTAAAGAGCAAAGTATGCCTTCAGCTCAGGTACCGTCAGGTCCTGCCACTTGTCATCATCTTTTAGTCTGCGCCTATTTGGATTTACTAATTGCCTTGCAGCATAATCATTCGTTTCACGACAAACCATCTGAAAAAACTCATCTCCCAAAAGCACTGAAAAGCCGAGGGGTTATCTCCTAGCTTTCTAGCTGAGAAAGGGTTCAAACCGGACTCATCAACATATGGAAATTCTTTTACAACGTTGTCTTCATCCGCCCATATCCAAGCGTCAGCCCATTTCTTTCTTTTCCTTTTTTTCTTTCCTCCAGCTTGCTCATTTGTTTCTTGTCTTCCTCCTCTACCCCTTCCTTGCCCTCTACCCCTACCTTGCCCTCTACCCCTCTACCTTGCCCTCTACCACTACTTTGTCGAGTTCTGACTGCAGTATTTGGCAACTCTGTTTTTTGATGCCCTAAAGTGGGCGGATTGATCTTCCTTATTATGTTTAGCAATATTTTTTTCTGAAAAATCTGTTTGGGATAAAAGTTCTTCATGACCCAAATTTTTAATCTTGTCTCTCAGCTGTTTTGCTTGGTAGTAGACATAAAAATTTTCCTTGAAGTCAGTCAGTTTGGCATTAAAAACCTCTTCTATTTTAGAGGCTGTGACGATTTCTTTAGATTTTACTGTTTTTGTTATAACTTTCTTCTTCCCCCTTATGGTCCTCTCTTCTTTGATTGTCTTCCATGCAAAGTACTTATTTCTAAAATCTTCTTCATAAGTGAATTTGATTTAAGAAAATATATAAGAATATATATATAAGAATATATATAAGAACATATATAAGAATATTTACAAAGAGCACATTTTCCTTTCATGCATTGTTCAGATTTAGTTGAACAAACCACTTTTTGTATCATCTCTGTGATAGTGTTCTGGAGTGACATTATCTTTCTTTAAGGCTTCCAGCATGAGTCCCATGTTCTTCTGCAGTGTTTAATACAAACACAGGTATCTCTGTCAGACCTCTTAGGAAACGTAACCCAGAATGGACGTGATCTGCAAAACATTGAAAAAGATATTTTTGTGTTGGTTTTACCGACAAAACGTTTGTAAAAGTTTGTAATGGAGTCCAACAAGATTCTGCGACGTTTTTTTACCTTGGCTCTTACCACAAAATATTTTTCTCTGGGCACATTCTACTTGTCGTGTCATCTTCAAAAAAGTCAATCAACTTTCATTTTTCTTTTTGTTGAACGCATTGTCTTGTTTTTCTGATGTATTCAAAATTTTGTTCTTTAACACGTTCGCTGCGGGCCATCAAACAGCAGGCGTAGCCTCAGCGCGGCGCAGCCCGCAGCGTCGAACAAACCCGATTGCCGGGTGATTGGCTCTCATATTTCGGTATGACGAATAGCAAATAACGTGCAGTGATGTCCTGTTTTATAACAAGAGTCGACGTAGTTCGCTAAACACTCACATATAGCAGCACTGCTTGGAACGTAGCCGGTCCCATCGTATTGCCAATTGGAGGGAGAAAGACGGGACAACAAGTTGATTTTTAAGTTTGCCAGACGGGGATTTTATGGGGAAATTTTACTACCAACCTACAACACAACAAAAAGCAAGTCACCCACTACACGCTAACGTGGAATAGGTCTGCCTTCGACCGACGCTTGAGCAAAAACGATGATATACGAAAGGCATTGCCGAGCGTATCCGATCGGTTACGGCAGCGTCTGAACAGCGCTCGGCCCGTATCCGATCGGATACGCCCGCAGTGAATGTGTTAAGTTTTGCGTTCACCCTGTAAGGCACCAAATGTTTGAAATACTTTTGGACTCTATATTTGTTTAACACCTTGTTTCAAAGTACTTTTCGGGCAACTTATTTTTTCTTCCTTCCACCTTTTGCTTCTTCGATCTGGCTCTCAACTTGTTTTGAAAGGCTAAAAACAATTGTTTCCTTACATTTGGCAAAACTTTCTCTTTCCCTAACAGTTCCTTTTTTCCTGGAAATGGTGAAACATTTGGTTTTAGTTTTTTTTTTTCTCTGGTATCGCTTTTTATACTTTTCTACTTTTAATTATATATTTTTTTATTTCGTTGTAGCATAATCAAAAGGTTATCTTAGAAATAATAAAGTGGACTGTATATAGGTTATTAATTTAATTTTGACAACAGAAAATAATGGACTTTTGGTTTAATTTTTAACACTGAACTATAGTTATGTTACCACTTTGACGTTATTAAGGTCTTGAAAGAAGATCTGGTCGAATGTTGTCTCTAGTCGAGAAGATATGTTTCATGAATGTCCAAATGTTCTCACAGTACACAGAATTTAGAGTCAAATTAAAAAGGGTTTATTTAATGCACACAAAAGGAAAAGGTAAATGAAACAAGTCAAAATAAAAGGAGAGAGAAATGAATGATGTTACACAAAGAAACGATATTACGAGAGAGAAAAATTGCACTTTTTGAACCAGAATGTTTACCTTGGAATGTTTACATTTTCAAAATTGTATTATTGTATTGTTGTTGACATGTGGGGATTATTTTAATAGGCTCATATGGTCAGCTGGCCTTTTACTGAACATACCGGCCTCCATAAAACGATAGTTTTATAACAATGAACACAAAATTGTACAAAAAACGGAGCACTGAAGAATATTCTGAATGTTATTTACAACTATTTACAGGAGGTTTGTCTTTGAATTTACGTGTTAGCTTCTTAACCGGGCTCCCACACGAATTATGCCGGAAGCATCCAGAAAAGGGTCTAAGGGTTGAAGATTAGAGGTACTGGGTGTGTTTTTGAGTAGTAGAGTCAATTCATTCGTAAAACATGTAGCTTGTACACACTTGATGATCGTACGCTCTGAGTTCTTAAGTTCAGAGACGGTGAGATGCCCATGTCTTCGGTCAGAGCTACGTGTATTGTGGATAAACCGCAAGCTATAGCTTGTTACTCTAAGTAGTTTAGACCACGATGAGTACTTGGAGAAAAGATCCAATTCTGGAGGTTGGGTTGAAACTAGGACATTTAGAGGAGTAGTTTTACATTCTTGAGTGTCTTGCAAGTTTATGGGAACGAAGCGATTAGATGGCCAATGATCATCTGAAAGAGTTAACCATGGAGGGCCATTCCACCATAGAGGATGATCAATGAGTTGAGCGGGAAGCAAACCACGTGACGCACAATCAGCGGGGTTGTCCGTTGAGGGAACGTAGCGCCAGGAGTGAGAGGGGATCAATTCTTGGACTTGAGCAACTCTGTTGGCAACATACGTTTTTAGTCGATATGATGGGGTGTGTAACCAAGTGAGGGTTACTGATGAATCACACCACAATGTAGTTTGAGAAAGGTCAATCTTTTCTTTGAAAACTGTACAACAGTAGGTTGCGAGTTTTGCAAGTAAGTGTGCACCACATAGTTCCAAGCGGGGTAGAGTAACACGTTTCAAAGGAGCTACACGTGTTTTTGCGAGAATCTGACGAGTGATGATTTCTCCAGTTGAAAACTCACAGCGGAAGTATAAAACTGCTGAGTATCCTACTTCGGAGGCATCTGAAAATCCATGGAGTTGTAAGGAACATGTGGTAGTGAAATGGAACGAGCAAGGGATCTTAATACTTGAAAGGAGAGAGGTTTCATCAACGAAAATGTGCCATTTTTCGGCGAGTTCATTTGGAAGAGTGTCATCCCATTGGATACCCTGTGACCAGAGTATTTGCATGAGGGTTTTTGCCCACATGGTCTCGGGTGACAAAAATCCGGTAGGGTCGAAAATGCGTGCTATAATGCTCAGCACTGATCGTTTTGTAGGAGGACCATCAGGGAGACTTAAGTTGTAAGTGAAACAATCTGAAATGGGTGACCAATGTAGTCCAAGAATGGCGAAATTAGGGTGATTAATGGTTTCCAAAAAGACTGGTGTTTCTAGATGATCTTGAGGCAAATCTTGGAGTAGTTCTGGGCAATTGGATGTCCATTTTCTTAGCTCGAAACCACCACGTGCAAGAAGTTCGATCAACTGATCTCGTAGTTGTTTAGCTTCGTTGAGTGTATGAGCTCCACAGATGACGTCATCCACATACGTATTATCCCGTAGAACTTTGGCTGCTGCTGGGAAGGACCCTCCTTCGTCGTCAGCAAGTTGATGTAACGTTCTGATGGCATGGAAAGGTGAACTGCTAAGACCGTATGTAACTGTCGTTAATTTGTATGTGGAGATTTCTTGAGTCTTTGGATCACGCCATAGAATTAACTGATACTTCTGGTCGTCAGGATGAACTTGAATGCAACGATACATTTTCCTTATATCGCAACTGAACACATAATTATGTGAACGAAAATTCAACAAAATGTCACAAATGTCAATTTGAAGTTTGCGACCGGTTAAAAGAATATCATTTAGTGAGACACCGGTACTGGTTTTGCAACTACCATCAAAAACTGTGCGAAGTTTGGTTGTACTACTGGTTTCCTTCAGTACACCGTGATGAGGCAAATAGTAGTGTGGCTGCGAAAGATCGGAAGGGGATGCTTTGACCATGTGTCCGAGATGTTCATATTCAGCCATAAACTGTGTATACAATTCCTTGAAATTAGAGTTGGATTCAAACTTTCGTTCAATTGAGTGAAGTCTATGTTCAGCAGCAGATTTTGAAGTGCCCAGTGGTTGATGTTGGTCCTTGAAAGGGAGTCGAACCACATATGTTCCATCTGGAGAGCGGGAGTGAGTTGATTTGAAGTGATCTTCAGCGATGCGATCGTCTTCAGAGATAAGATTGCACTGCGGTACCTCTTCTTGTTGCCAAAAGCGAAGTAGAGTATTATGTAGCTCGTCCGTAGTGGAGAGTAGAGATGAATGGCATGAGGTGGGAGAAGAGTTAGACAAAGTTGGTGCATTGCCCATTAACACAAATCCCAATCGTGTTCCAATAACGAATGGAAGGTTTGAGCCCAATGGGTAGGATTGATGAGTAAGAAGTTCTGGAAACAAAGCACCTCCTATGAGAATGTCAATATTCTGAGGAATATGAAAGGTCGGATCTGCGAGGAGAAAAGGTTTTACCAGTTCGTAAACCTCAAAAGAGAGTTGAGTACGAGGCAAAGGAGCGGAAATTCTATCTAGAATATGGAAAGGTTGATTTGAAGCAATTACTTCACTGCCTAGTGTGGATAGTTCTAGGAGTGCATGTCCCTTTGTCGAGGATTGCGATGCAGAGATTCCCACGATTGTGTGAGTAGAGCGGTGACGAGAGACGTTTAATAGCTGTGCTGCCTTCTCCGTCATGAAGTTGAGTTGACTTCCACTGTCGAGCAGACATCGAAAGACATGAGAGATTCCATTATTACTATTAGCGGTAATTTTAATGAGAGCGGTGCCTAGCAGTACCGTAGTTGCAGGCTGAGAAATCGAGAGCGACATTTCTGGTTGAGCAGAAGCGACTACAGAAGGTGTAGCAGTTGAAGGTTTTGAGGGTTTGGCTACAGGAGGAGACTTTACAACATTTTCGAAGTGTAACAAGGTGTGGTGTTTTTGTTTACATTTAAGACATGTGCCTGTTGAGCGACAATCTTTGAGTGTGTGATTGCCAAGACATGAAATACATTTATTTTGCTCCTTTACAAGTTTGTAACGCTCGTTTGGAGATTTCTTAGCAAAAACCTTACACATGTAGATTTTGTGATCGGTTTGTTGACAGGCAAAGCATGATGGAAATGTCTTTACAGAAGTGGAGTGATCATCTGAGCTTACAAGTGCAGTATAGCGGGTGCTTGGTTTGGAGTAATTTTTACTAGATGTGAGGGCAGGCTTTGAATTAGCCTTGTGACAAAAAGTTGAAGAGTGTAGGTTGGCATCTTCACTGTTTGAGCATTCTTCATTGAGAAATTTAATGATTTCGTCCACAGATGGTAACGAATGAGTTTCACATGATTTGAATGAGCGGTAATGTTCAAGTTTTTGCCGTAAATTTCTATCAAGTCTACGGAGCAAATGAGCTGACAGCAAAGGATTGTCATTTGTAGTGATGTCACTTTCTAAAGCAATAAGTGATTGTGTATGTTCCAGAAAATGATTTAGAAATTCACGTATTGATTTTGTATTTTCAGATGTGGCAATGGGAAGATCCAATATAGCATTTAAATGTAAAGAAGTTAAGCGTCTGTGATTGTGGTATCGATCGCGCAACAAATTGTATGCGATTTCGTAGTTAGATGCACTGATGTTTAAGTTTTTAATTAAATTTAGAGGTTCTTCAGTTAGACAGCTTAGTAGGTATTGAAATTTTGATACTGGAGACAGAGATGTGTTGAGGTGTACAGCGCTATCAAAAAGATTGATGAAATTAATCCACTCGGCTGAGTTTCCCGAGAAGGTTTTCAAGTCAAGTTGCGGTAGGCGAACAGGTTGCATGAAATCAGTACAGTTGGAATTATTCACCATTTCTTGAGGAGGAGATTGAGGTTCGTCAATAGGGATTAGTGACTCTATAGTACTACAAAGATGTATACATAATTCACCAATAGTGTTTTCATCATCATTTAGAATAATGCCATCGAGTTCTTCGTCAGAACAATGTTCTAAAACGCGCCTGAAATTTAGTTCAAAGTCGTCTCGCTTTTTCCTGATTTTATCTAAATAGTTATGAAGTGATTTTATTTGCACAGAGGATAGGTTGTTTGCTTTAGCACTTTCATTAATATAATCTATATTTTCTTGAATTTTTCCAAGCCTAACTTTGAATTGTTTGGTTAGTCTTTTATAAGTACAAACCTTAATCGGGGCTAGGTTCACAGGAGCCATCATTGAACACAAATACAGTTAAAATACACAAGGCACAAAAGTTATTTCACTTCGTTACATAAAACAAAATGAATTAGGCTAGTTCAATTAAACAGTTTGTGGGCCTTAACTCGGAACCAATCAACAAAAAATATAAACACTGAAGGATTGGTATAATGTTTACAAAATGACTATAATGTCACAAAGTGTTTCAGTCATTGGAGTAGGCCTATTAGGCTAATGTGATCGAGAGAGAGAGAGAGAGAGAGAGATAGAGGTAGAGGGGGAGTACAAAATATGCGTGAACGACAATATTGAGAGTTTATGAGGTTATGTTCGTCTTTAATCTTCACCAAAAGTCCAAATAATTAATCCAATCAATTGGTTAATCAACAATCCGGCTCGAAGGACCAAAGATGTAGCGTAATCAAAAGGTTATTTTAGAAATAATAAAGTGGACTGTACATGGGTTATTAATTTAATTTTGACAACAGAAAATAATGGACTTTTGGTTTAATTTTTAACACTGAACTATAGTTATGTTACCACTTTGACGTTATTAAAGTCTTGAAAGAAGATCTGGTCGAATGTTGTCTCTAGTCGAGAAGATATGTTTCATGAATGTCCAAATGTTCTCACAGTACACAGAATTTAGAGTCAAATTAAAAAGGGTTTATTTAATGCACACAAAAGGAAAAGGTAAATGAAACAAGTCAAAATAAAAGGAGAGAGAAATGAATGATGTTACACAAAGAAACGATATTACGAGAGAGAAAAATTGCACTTTTTGAACCAGAATGTTTACCTTGGAATGTTTACATTTTCAAAATTGTATTATTGTATTGTTGTTGACATGTGGGGATTATTTTAATAGGCTCATATGGTCAGCTGGCCTTTTACTGAACATTGGTTGTCTTGTTTTTAATTTTTTTATAGGCCTTCGCTCTGTCCCTTCTAAGTTGCTTTCATCCTCTTTTTTTCTATTCTTTTTGTTCATTTGGTTCATCTTCCATATCAGATGCAGTGGGCGTGTTTCTTATAGCATGCTATGTAGCCTTCTTCTTTTCTCTGTATTTTTTTGAACTCTTCCTCCAATATTTTCGCAGTTTCCTCTTCTCTCTTGGTTTCTTGTCGGCAATTCCTTTGATTGGCTTTGCTTCATTTAGTCTATAATACCTTTCCAAATCTTGTTCTAGTTGCTCTTCAGTAAACTTGCTTCGTCTTTGTCTTTGCTGTTCTCTTTTCCTCGCCCTCTGTTGCTCAAGGGTTGTCTTGGCTGATGTCTTCGCCGTACGTCCCATGATTTCTTAAATGAAGCCAAGTAAAACTTTTGGAGATCTGAAATAAATAGAAATATGTAAGAAAACTGGAAAGCGGTATTAATATTTGATAAAACTAATATCACGTTTTGGGCGGCTAATAAAAAACAGTATATGCCAGACTAAAAGAGATAAGGTTCAGGTAGGCCAGGGTGCGTATCTTACCCTCTAGACGGATTCAGCGTGTTCAACACCACCGCTAGGTTAGGTTATATAAATTTTAAAAAAAAAATTGTATAAATTGTTTAAAAGTTTAGACAACTTCACCCCATGCGGATATTAACCCCGCGAACAAGGGATAGTCCCTAGGAATTCGGCGGAATACCCTGAATCCGTAGGGAGGTTGTAAATATGTGGCCAGGCAGCTTAAATCGCTTTGTCTAAACACCTATTGTTGTACGAGGAATGGCAGGTTCCGATACAAAAAACTGGGTTCTCAAGTATTTGCCCCACTGTGAAACAGCTAGCTTCTTAAAAGCAATATAAATCATGATTAAAGTGTTTCTAAACAACCATTCATTACTTAACGTTAACTACATTTGTTGCCTTCTCAATATGTATTGCATCACAACATAAGGTATCGTCAGTAGGGCCAACAATAATAGTATTTCAATTCTTGTTCACTTTCCTTGTACATGTAAAATACTGTAAGTTGGCACTTGGCTCCTAGGTACAAAATGTGTATTTATATGTATATTTATGACCCCTAAATATATATAGGCCCATCCCGACCCTTCAAACAATCCTATTAGCACGCTTCTGTGCACGCCCTAGTCAGGGACGTTCAGCACCCGGGGCAAACGCCTTTTGGCGCCCCCCCCCCCCCCCTCAATTGGACTGAAACTAATTCCTTACAAATCTTCTTAAAAAATGTGTGGTGTGTCCATCGGTGCAATACATTAATACTATTCAGATCTTAAAATGCTTAAACTCAAGTTCAAAGTACTAAGGCCTAGATATAAGTGGTAAATAATTGAATACAGTACGTATTTTCAAAGACAAATAGTTTATTTGAAAACAAAATCATTCAGGTTTACAACAAACACTTAAGGTAATAAACTATGTACAAGTGGGTCATGTATTAGATAAAATTATAAAAAATTTAACTGAAAATACTTATTTTAAACATTTAATTGTTCTTATAGAGTTTCACTTTTCGGGCTTTTCTTGTTAATAAATTCTTAAATTAATAAAAAAAACATGTAAATCAATTAAAAACAATTTGAAAACATATAAATATATACAGCAACAAAAAGTTAGGTACTCAACACAAAGTGTTTGAAAGACTGGATATTAATATGAATCTGTATGAATAAATAAATACAAAGTAACAAAGTACTGTATATTATCTGAACTTTACTCTTCGTTTCATTTAGCCATGATGATAGAAGAGACGAGGATTGATGTGTTTTTTTCTCTCTTTAGCTCTTTTGCGATTTTTCACACCTGACAGTTTTTTTGACATGACTATTATTCAAAACACGAAAATAATATTGCTAGTAACACGCAAAGAAACAGCACCGCAACCACATTTCGTGTCCTGAATCACTGATTACTAGTAGAATGAAGTTCCGTATGAACTGTTAGTTGTCAACTGGAAGTGTTCTGACTCCGCGCCGGCGCCGTCCTAGTGACTCATCGACGACAGACAGACAACGCAGTATGCTCATCCTCATACTCGCTCTGTACAAGTTCATACGGACGGTTAACATGATTCGTTAACAGTATAATAACAGTCAGATAGCATTCATCATTTCACTTTGTACTTTCTTAGACTTGTATAACAATTAAAAAATATAATGATTTTCTTTTGCAATACAAGACGGATTAAAAATATTTTGAGCAATTTTTATTTGAAAAAAATCTGTGCCTGTGTTGGCGCCCCCAACAACTGGCGCCCGGGGCTCATGCCCCGCGTGACCCCCCCTAGTTACGTCCCTGGCCCTAGTTAAAAAAACAATAATACAAATGATGCAATAATTTGGAATTTTATATTGCGCTTATGTTATAAAATTATTGAACAATAATTTCCGTTTTTGTCCCATTAAAATCGGATTATTTTAACTGGTTTTATAATGTTAGAATTTCTTGAAAATTTTTATTTCCAATAAAGAAGCATTAAAACTCAGCGTATACAAATGTTTTCGATATCCAAAATAAATATATGTATCACGAGATAGATTATTATATAGAGTAGGTAGTTTTATCGTAACAATATTTGAGTATTATCACGTTTTACATAATCGTGAAGTGTAAACCAGTTTGATTTACATATATTTCTGCATAATTGAACAAATCAATCACGCTTGTGTTCGGATAGAAAATTTGTTTACCAAACAATACTCATGAAATATGATTGCAAAAAGAATTTACAACTCACCAAAGTTTGGCTGGCGTTTCACGTGATCCTTCCTAACGGTAAATTCCGGTGTTATGTAAATCTAGTGCAGCTCTTCAATTCCGGATATCTCCACATCCGAGTCGTCTGGTCCTGCGTCTTCGCTGCTCTCAGAGTCGCTCCCGACGTGGATGATAAAGGATTCAGTTATGTCATCTATCGCTGGTTCCCTGGGGGAGTATTCATTTTCTGCATTCTTAATATGGTCGCATTTTCACTTTCATTGGTCTGGGCCAATCGTAGAAAACTTTTCTTCGCAGAGCTTTTGTATGTCTGGGAGTTTGAATGTTGTGTTGTGTGTAGCAACATAGTTTTTAATGTCTGCCCAAATCATTTTGATAGGATTAAGATCTGGATAATACGGTGGTAGACGTAAAACGGTCTGTCCTCTTCCCCTTAATAATTCATCCAACCGATATCTTACAAATCTATCCTTGTTTACGACAATGATTTTGTACAGCTGTGGCTTTAGCATTGACTCCTCAAAAGGTATATTTTAACTATACAAACTTTCATTATAAATCAAGAGGTACGGTGAGTCTACCGGTGAATGATCGGTTAAGCTGTCCCGATGAACGACCACTGGTGCACTGACCCTATATCTCAAAATGTTAGTTTTTTCTAACATAACCTTGAAGTTATCATAATTATCATAGCTTCACTTACCTCAGTTGATGTTTGATCTGTACTTTGGTTTATGTGGGGGCGGTGGATGCCTGACAAAAACATTAAACTCTTGAAGGCATACCAGGAAGGACTGTAAATGTCTTCTGTTCCTACTCCAGACTTCCGACTGCTCATAACCTTTGCCAGCTCCCTGCTGTACTGGCTTTTTATTGTATGCCATTTTGTTTCAATCTATTTAGCAGAAAAACTTAATTCCTCACCTATGACAATAATTCACATTTTTATATTTTCCCTATGTGCCTGTTAACTTAGTAATGTTCAAATTCTTCTTCAGAATATAATAATGTTTCTTTAATTTTATACATTCCCCTCTTATTGATTAATTTGATACAATTTAAGTCAATCTTTATAATCACATCTTCTCTTTCGTACAAAAGTTCGTCATCCCTATCAGGCCACACCCAATAAACACCTTTTTTTTGCCATACATTTCACCTTGTATAGATCTGGAGTATCCACACATATTTCAACCCCCCCACTTTGCCCGGAAAAAGATTGTTGTTATATTTCATGAAAACAAAATTGTCGACAAGGATGTCCGTTTCAAGTCCAGAAATAGGTAGGCCTACTGAGCTGTCAACATCATTTAAAGAATTTAATAGGCCTACTTCTGATGA